TCATTTTTGTCGGGCCCAGGTCCGTCGGTTTCGGCCCTGGGCCGTTTTCACTAAGGGGAGGTTTACTGAAGGGAGGTTTGTCCACCGCCGACGGAAGGGGGTGATATTCGAGGTTTCAAGACCACCTCGCATGGTGAACAAATCACGACGGGAGGTTCTTGTTATTGCCGGCTTTCGGGGGCCCCTGTCGGGCCTCGGAAGCGTCAACCAATTTTTCGTGCTGAGAAACCGATTCTTGGGAAGGGGTCCAGGCCTCTGAGGTCGATGTTGCGAAAAGAATTTCGACGTCGGGGGTCTGGGTTCGGGAGGGCTTTTTGCCTTGCTCGGCCTCCGGGGGCCGTCTTCGGGCCCCAGGACTGTCAAAACCAGGTCCGGGGTGAAAAATTGCACCAGATTGACCCAGGAAGGTGTCGGGGGGCCGATTTGGAGCGTAGAGGGTCTTGTGCCCCCCCAGATCCGCTGTGCTTTGAATCCGACCTACGTCTGACGTAATCGGACTGTGCACCCGACGTAATTCCGACGAGGATCCGACGTAAATTGGGTCCCAAGTTGCTGCGCGAGGTCTGCAAGTTGTTCCTTGTAACACGTATTCCCAGATCTCCGGCGATCTGATTTGTTCCAGCGGCGTTTTTCTTCCTCGATTTCCTGGTCTCTTGGGGGCGCTTTCGGGCTCCCGGGACCGCCAGGAACGGACCTGCGGCGAAACATTGGCCTCGAGGGAAGCGGTCGGCATTTTCCTGGGACCGCGTATTGAACAATTCGTATCGGCGGCCAACACATTTGTTGGTTGGTATCGTGCGCATTTCTTCCGTATCCAGTTCGGGCGTCCAAAGCTAGTGTTTGGAAGGGGCTCGTGCGATGGACGGTAAGCGGATTCGGGGCCAGCGGGGACCTGAAAGTCGGCGGGGGGTCTGAGGTGGAGCCAGCAGGAAAGGCGGGGCGAGGACAAGGTTTCTTGCCCATTTTGTGATTCTGGGGGCCGTGCTCTGGCCATGGGACCGTCACAAGCGGATCTGGGGTGACCAATTACACGAGATAGACCCCACGATAGGGGTCTGGGGACAGAGGTTAAGCAGCTCTGCCCTGCCCCCTCCGTCTTGACCGACTTTGTCCGTGGCCCGACCAGCTCAGACCCCCTGGCCGCCTCCAACACGCTGCATCTCCTGCCAGATGATGAGAAGGTAATCGAGTTCACAAAGCTTGGCATCGCTCGGACGTGTGCATTTTTCCTTCGGCGAGGACCATCTAGGAACATCCTTGATCATGTGGCGAAAAAAAACACGCACAACACCGAAAAAAAACACAGGGAATGGACGTCCGAGCGATGTTAAGAAAGGGCGTTGCTGATTTTGAGAGTCGTTGCAACCCACAGGGGGATAGCCTGCAGGGGGGCGGGGGCGGCGGGGACAGTGGAGGCGCCCACCGCTGGTCCAACGGTGGAGCCCACGGCGGCGCCGACTGCCAGCCCGACGGCGGCCCCTACGGCGGCGCCGACTGCAAGCCCGACTGCTGGCCCCACGGCGGCACCGACGGCCAGCCCTACGCCAGAGCCTACGGCAGCGCCGACTGCGAGCCCTACGGCGGAGCCCACGGCGGCGCCGACTGCGAGCCCGACTGCCAGCCCCACGGCGGCTCCTACGGCGGCACCGACGGCAGAGCCTACAGCGGCGCCGACTGCGAGCCCCACGGCGGCGCCGACTGCGAGCCCGACTGCCAGCCCCACGGCGGCACCGACGACCAGCCCTACGGCGGAGCCTACGGCGGCGCCGACTGCAAGCCCGACTGCCAGTCCTACGGCGGAGCCCACGGCGGTGCCGACTGCGAGCCCAACTGCCAGTCCTACAGCGGAGCCCACGGCGGCGCCGACTGCGAGCCCGACTGCCAGCCCAACGGCGGAGCCTACGGCGGCGCCGACTGCGAGCCCGACTGCCAGCCCAACGGCGGAGCCTACGGCGGCACCGACGGTGGAGCCCACGGCGGCGCCGACTGCGAGTCCGACTGCCAGCCCTACGGCGGAGCCTACGGCGGCGCCGACTGCGAGTCCGTCCGCGAGCCCAACGGCGAAGCCCACGGCGGCGCCGACTGCGAGTCCGACTGCCAGCCCTACGGCGGAGCCTACGGCGGCGCCGACTGCGAGTCCGTCCGCGAGCCCAACGGCGAAGCCCACGGCGGCGCCGAATGCGAGCCCGACTACGTCGCCCACGGTGGCCTCGTCGCGTTGCATCCGTTGTTGCCAGCCGATGGTGATGATCTTTCCATTACGGCCACGGCCATCGCTATGGTTGTCAGCATCATCTCTCCTTGTTATTGTCGGCTTCATCTTATCACTTCTGTTCGTTGTCTCCCGTCTAGCTTTGATTGCGCGGTGGCCAGCAGTTCTCGTCACGGGCTCTCCCCTGCCTCTTGGGTCTCTGTTGAAGGGTTGCGCGCACCATCGCGTCAAATTTCCCAAACAGTGCTTGCACTTAGGGTTTCTCATTTCTCTTCGCCGGGCTGGCAGTCTGGCAGCTTCGTGCTCGCCGTCGCCGCCTCGTCGCAGCCCCGTCGCCGCCTAGAATGCACAGCATGATTGTCATTGCACCACCACATAAATTGCATCCCGTAGATCGCACCACATGGATTGCACCACATAGCTTGCACCACGTCGATTGCACCACATAGCTTGCACCACATGTATTGCACAACATATATTGCACCACACAAATTTGCACCACGTCGATTGCACCACATAGATTGCGCACCACATGTATTGCACCACGTACGCTGCACAACATATATTGCACAGCATAGTTTGAACCACATCGATTGCACCACATGTATGGTTCCACAAACCATACTACGGTACAGCATAGATTGCAGCACATATTACACCACTTGTACTGAACCACGTCAAGTGTACCACATACATTGAACCACATAAACTTCGCACCACGTTGGTCCTCTATTCTAAAAAGGAGTTAGGATCTACCAATCCCCCGAGGCCTGGATTGTACGATTCTGCCCCATTGTTCATTTTAAGCAGCATATTGCCACCCAGTTTAGCCATTATTTCCCCCCATCCTCGGCCAAAAAAACTATGCGCGCACACTCGTGTATCAACAAACACTATATGCCAGGAATCCCTTCAAAACATGTGACGAAGTTCGCCTGCGCGCGTCGTCGCGCGCGCATGCCACACTGCGCGTCAGAAGCCTTCGGCAAGACACGCATGGTGCTATAACAGGTTTGTTCCAAACAAGCACGGTGCGCGCGCACTCCTGCACATTCTCAAGAGAACCACTCGGTTTGCTTCAACATGCTCATCCCATTTGACGAAGCGGGCCTTTCGCGCGCGCATGTCGAAATCATTCGAACGCCCTTGTGCGCGTACTGGGGGAGCACGGCCTCTGCCAAAGAAAACCATGCGGGCCACTCGCGCCCGTTGGCTGCGCGCGCATGTCGAAAAACGTCTTCCGAAAACCGTCATCACCGACACGGTGACACCATAATCGTCATCGGCGTTATCCGCGTTGGCGACGTCATTGGGCTTACCGTCGTCATCGTCATGGTTGTCACCAGCAGTGATACAATCATCATCGTGTCTGCCGCTGTCGACGTCGCCATGGTACCGCGCCCGCCCGAACCACCGACTCGCACTGAAATGCTCGCGCGCCAGCGAAGCTGCAGCGATGCGCCAGCCATCGCCAAGCAGTCATTGCAGTCGCCGCCGCGTGGGCTTGCGCGAGCAGTAGAGTGACTACCCACTGCGAACACAAAATAATTCCAGCACGTAGATTGCACCACGTATATTGCACAACATAAATGGCAAACCACTTCTTGCATAACTTGGATTCTCCTCAACAAAAGAGAGAATCGACTCTACCCCCCCCCCCCCCCAGGATAACCGGTTTCCCTATCCATATTGAACATTACGTACGATTTTGCCCCGTCGTCCATCATATATATATACACATATATATATATATATATATGAATCCGTACCGTCCCAGCTAAGACGCTATCGGCCCTTTCCCGCCATCCTCCGCAAAAGAACTATGCGCGCACATTACTTTATCAAAAATCATACGTGTTCGAGAACCCCTTGCAAAACAACGGGGCGAAGTGCACACGCACGCGTCGCCACGCGCACATGCCGAAATCCTTCAAAAACTCGGTTTCGTAAAGGTTTCAAAGTCGAGTATCCAAAACATATTTACAACAGTTCACATGCTTTCGTCACACGAATTTACACAACAAACTTGCGCGCGCACGCTTGCGAATTCTTGATGAACCAGAGGTTGTTTTCAACATTGTCATAACATGTTGCCAAACAGGCGTCGCGCGCGCATGCCGAAATCGTTCGAGCGCCCTTGAGCGCGTGTTGGGGTGGCACGATCCGCGTCAAATACTACCATGCGGGCCAGTCTCGCGCGTCTGCCGCGCGCGCATGTCGAACTCCTTCCAAACCTTCTTCACCGACGCGAAGACGCCGTCATCGCAGTCGGCGTTATCAGCATCGGCGCCGTCACTGGCTGCCCTGTCGTCGCTGTCAGCATCGTCACCAGTATCGTTACTATCTTCATCGTGTCTACCGTTGTCGACGTTGCCACGATACTGCGCTCGCCCAAGCCGCCGACTCGCATTGAAGTGCCCGATGGGATGTGCCGAGCGGTCAGCGCCACCGCGTTCGCATCGGTCGCGCCAAACTAGTTGCCCGCTGCGCGCGCGAGCATGCGCATGTCAGCGCGGCCGCAGAAATGCACCAGCCAACACCCAGCACCCATCGCAATCGTTCCCGCATGGGTTTTGCAAACCAAATTGCGGGTGGGTGGGTGGGATGATTGCGCGAGCAGTGGAGTTGAGAACTTCAAGGTCGGAAAGGTGAATCGCACCACCACATACATCGCCCCCCCCCCCCCCCCACACACACGGTGTTCCACAAACAATGCACACCATACATTGCAGCGCAACATGTATAAAACAACGTGAATTGCACCACGTATGTGGCACCATACACATTGTTGCACTTAGACTGCGCAAGCGACATTGCTAGACACGCATTGTGTGGGGTCCACGCTGGCTAAGATGTGTATGTTTTGTTCCCGCGATTTGGCGTCCAAAAAGTTCGGAGGTAACGTCGGTGACCGGCGTGATGGCACGTTTCTTTCGTTCCGTGTTTATTCATATGTGTTCTCCGCATGTTTCCCCAATTCTCGCTTGAGTGCGGTGATATCTTGTTGAAACTCATAGATGTGTCTTCGTGGCTGCCAAGACTTCATTCGGCTGGTACCATGCACCAGCTGGCTGCCCTTTCTCCCCTCCGTTGCGCCTGGTCTAGGATACGGCACGTTCGCGTCGTGCCGACGCGTTGGCGCCCCCGCCGCGGGCGTTCAAAGCTGCACGCCGCCAGTAGCCCAGAATCGACCAATACGCAACGATCTGGAAGCCGGAACGCCGTCAATGGTTCAAGGTTGCACGGTCCACGCGGTGTCAAAATCCTGCGCTTGGTCGTCACACTTGATAAACCTGCCGTTCGCGGGCTGGCCGCGAGGGCGCCCCAAACATGGACTCGGACGCAGACGTGGATTCAGGCGCGCGGGTTAGCGACTGGTCCTGTTCACGTGCGATTCCGACGCGCTCCGTCGCCAAACCAGGCGGCGTTGGGGTCCCACATTCCGCCCAGACCCGTGGATCTGACGCCCACGTGCCAGATCCATGGGTCCGTAATCCATTTTAGCGTGCACCCGAAAGGACCAGAGCAAGCCTAGCGTTTAGTCGGGCACGGCCCTCTACAGGGAGAACGTTCAAAAAAGGTTCAATTGTCTCGGGACGATATTTGTTTTTCCTATTTTCCATTTGTGCATATTTGTGGATATTGCTAATTCTGCTTCCCGAAGCCGCCTGCAGGAGGACATGCCCGACCTAGGCCTAGCGCATCCAAAGGATCCCAGGGCCTCCAGAGACCCATCCCGACAGGTTCTGCAGCACGCCCGCACACGTCTGACGAAGGTTGCCCTCTTCTTCGGCCTCCTCGCCCTCGTCCTCGCCCTCCCCCCTCCTCCCTCGCCCCCCTCCTCCCTGCTCCTGCTCGCCCTCCTCCCGCGCCTCCCTCTTCACTCTCGAGCCTCGCCCTCCTCTCCCCTCCTCCCCCGCCACCTTCCCAGGCATCCGACGTCTTGAGTCCCCCTGAGCTTCTCGAGATGGGGTCCCCCGAGGGCCTGGACCTCTTCCCCAGGGCCGGCCCTTCATCCTGAGTCGCTTTTGGCGGCCCTGGGGCCCAGCGAGGGCCCACAGGGCCCGAAGACTGCGAGAGCCTCCACCGCGCGGTTCTAGAGACGCCGGAGGTCCAGGTTTGAATTTGTCTCCCTCCCCCCCGTCGCCCGCGCCCCCTTGCCCGCCAGGGGCCGGCCAAGTTTTTCAGCTACGTGGAGTTCGTCGTCGCCGGCATCGATTACAACTCGCTGTCGGCCTCCAACCAGGCACGGCCCCCTCCCTGGAGGATCAGAAAAAACGGAGAAAGAACCGGAGGAACAGTGAGGAGGAAGAGGAGGGAAGCTGGAAGAGGGAAGTGGAAGAAAGAGAGAAAGGAGGATGAGGAGGGGGGAGACCTAGGCGTGGCCCTTTGGCGACGGCTTTGCCAGGTGCCTTAAAGCTTAGCGCGCCCACTGGTGAAAGACCAGCACTTGACCGTGTGCATGCAAGCTGGGGAGGAGAAGATACGAGGTCCCACTTGCTGGGACAGGAAAGGATAAGAGGGCCCACCCTTGGAGTTGGGGTGAAGAAGCGAGGAGCTGATGAGGGAGGCGGAGAGGGGAGGAGGGTGGAGGAGGAAGACCAGAGTAAACCCAAGATCGCGTGCTAAGACCCCTCTTTATATCATAGAAACCCTACACATTGTCTTAGAAGTTCAAGAAGAGCCCCCGTCGCCACCGTGAAAACCATACCCCCATAAATACCCGCAACCCATGGGCCTGCCGTTTACGCGAGAGTCCCGTTTCGAAAAGGAAGCGCGCTGCCTCTTTCTAGCGAGCAGCACATCATGCGTAAAGGTGCGATTATCAGTTCGGCGAGGTGTCCAGTGCAATCCCCGCTGTTATGAAAAGAATGCCCCATCTGTTGAAAATGTTGACAGCGTTTGCATTAAGTCGGGCCTGTCCCTCTACAGGGGGAATATTCAGAAATAGTCAAACACTAGTCTGGGGACTGTTTTTTTATGTTTTTGTTGACCATTTTGGATGTTTTTTTTTATCGTTTTTTATTGTTCGTCCCAAATCCCACTGATGGTCATGAGCGCCTGTAGCGTATCAAGCGAGAGCTCCGGTTGGAGGAAGAGCGGCCCTTGATTCGTGCAGCTGCAAAGGGCGTCTGTTCAACCTTTCAGGAGGGAAAAAACACACAGGCACAATTAATCGTCGATTCCAAAGAAAATATGGGAAACTATGGGAAGTGGGGGGGAAGACAAAAACCCAGAACATATGGGAAAACATGGAGAATCCTTTTATTTGTGTGTATTTATTTGTGTGCCTTGGGGCCCCTTCAAACCTTCTGACCCTGGAAGGTCACAGACGTCTCTAGCGAGAAACTCACTTTTCAAAAGGAACCGCCTTCATCTTCGCAACTGCTGCAATCCAACTGCGCACGGATTCCGGGGGGCACCCCATTTGGAAGATTGCCCGTGCTCCATCCTCGTAATTGTCGCAGGCTTGTATGATGAATGCGCGCGGCGCTAAAGCGAGAGATTCTTTCTGAAAATGAATAGCCGTCCGTCCGTTCAAGACGAGCGTGTGCGGTGTTCACGCGAGAGCCCCATTTTGAAATCGACATGTGTTGCAATTGTGCAACGGCCGCAAATTTTGAACATCATCCGCGTGCCGTCAAGGCGAGAGCCCCATCTTGAGAACCCCCCCCCCTGCACGCTCGAGACTGGTGCGAACTTAAAGCGAATGTGCGCGGCGCTGAGGCGAGAGCCCCATCTTGACAAAGGCCCTCCCTCCATCCTTGAAGCTGATGCGAATGTCAAGCGTCAGAGTCATTTAAGTCTGAGGCAAAGCGCCCGGCCGCCCAACACGTCAGGGGGTGCGACTGAGGGCTTGTGTAGAAGGGAAACGCATAGAGCAGGAGGAGGAGAAGGAGGAGGAGGAGGAGGAAGAGGAGGAGGAGGAGGGGGAGGAGGAGGAGGAGAAGAGAGGAGGAGAAGGAGGAGAGGAACGAGGAGAGGAGAGGAGGAGGAGGAGGAGGAGGAGGAGGAGGAGGGTGGGAGGGAGGAGGAGGAGGAGGAGGAGGAGGATGGCGGAGGATGGGGCAGCTCGCTCACCCTGCCCCTGTTTTCTTGTATCCGCGGGGCTGCTCGCATCGCCAGCATGGGCCTGCAGAGGGGTCTGGGGGCGGGGGCTAGACTTCGGCGTTTTTTCCCCAATCAGGCTTGCTTGGGTTCCTCGGGTGCCTTGGGGTCCCCGGGTTCCCCAGGTTCATCGGGTTCTCCAGGTTCCCCGAGTTCCCCGCCCCCGGTGCCTATTCTCACTGTGCCAAGCAACGCCAGGCAATGCCAAGCAACGCCGGGCAATGCCAAGCAATGCTGCAATAGGAAGCTTTCCCTGCTTGAGGTCGCGCCAGGGTCATTTGTTGAAGGGCCCTCCTCCACGACGGCGGAGAAGGCTTGTCGAAGGGCCCCGTTTCCACGAGGAAGCAGGAAGAGGAGGAGGAGGAGGAGGAGGAGGAGGAGGGGATCGCCGCTGTTGCGGCACCGAGGGGGGCCCCGCCCTCTCCCTCCTCCTCCTCCTCCTCCTCCTCCTCCTCCTCCTCTTCCTCCTCCTCCTCCTCCTCCTCCTCCTCCTCCTCCTCCTCCTCCTCCTCCCTTCCGTTGCGCTCGGCTGGCACCCTTGATGGGGCAGCTCAGCGCTCAGGTATCTACTTCGTGCCTGACTTTCAGCGCTGCGCCCCTGGCAGCCAGTTGCCGGCTCGTCCGAGGCTGGTCTGCCGGGGGGCGTGCGCGCGGCTACCGGTGAAAATCCGATGCGCTCCCGCCTCCAGCAACTGAAGAGGCGTTGCGCTCGGCTGGCACCCTTCATAGGGTAGCTCAGCGCTCAGGTAGTGCGGCGGCGCGGAGGACATGGACTTCCCTCCTCTCGCTGCTGTTGCTGCTGGCCCGCCTCCCCCCTTTATCGCGTACGCTCCTCCTCCCTTCCTTTGCCTCCTCCTCCTCCTCCTCCTCCTCCTCCTCCTCCTCCTCCTCCTTGGCCGGAGTGACCTTAGGCGCGCGGCTTTGCGGGGGTGGCGGGGGCGGGGGGGAGAGCCAAAGCGCAGGAGCATTTGCTGTCGCGCCGCGTGTTGTGATCAGCAGGCCGCGCGCGAGAGGTCACTCCTGCCTGGGGTCACCGCGGCGCTGGCTGCTGCAGACCCTCCCCTCTTGTGAGCACCGGGGGGTCTGGGACGACCGCGTACCTTGCGGTTGGACCGAGGTATAAGATCGAGGTCGGTTCGGGGAGGGGGCCCTGATGTTGCGCGCTTGTTGGATGTTCTTGTGCACCTGGGGGGGGGACCCTCGAATGTTCTTCAGCTTGGCTGGCAGAGGCGCTCATGTTCTTGCAGGATGTTGCTCTGTCCTAGGCCCAGCCACACTTCAGGTTACACTGGTCTGGCGGTCGATGGGGCCAACGCATTGCGATGGGGGGAAGCGCTGCCCAAGCAGCTCCTGACCTCGCGGCAAGCTGCTTGCCGAAGCAAGCGCGCCGCCAAAATGAATGAGACGTTTGCCCTCGAGCGGCCTCGCCGGGACTGGCAGGATGTGCAAGGGCCCCCCGCTGTGCGACAGAGATGCGGACCCTCCCTGGAGCTTACAACTCCCCTTCTCCCTCCCCCGAGGGTGTCTGGAGGTCTCTGAGGGCTCCACCAGAGGCCCGGTTCCCCCGAGGCCTCTGGAAGCAAGCCAATGAACAACATAAAAGAACGGGGTCGTCTGCGCCGACATTGGCGCGTAAGTTGCCTGCGTAAGCTCGCGCGCGAGCGCCGTCGTTCCCAATGCAACCAACCGCGCTGGCGGCCCGCGTACGCCGCGGCGTAAGGTTGGCGTAAGGTTGCCGTCGTTCAGATGAGCAAGCTTGTGTAGATGACCCCAGATGACCCCGATGGTTAATGCCGTCCCCGACGAGAGGAGGGGGAGGAGGAGGAGGAGGAGGAGGAGGAGGAGGAGGAGGAGGAGGAGGAGGAGGAAGAGGAGGAGCAGGAGGGAGGAAGAGGAGGAGCAAGGAGGAGGAGGAGGAAGAAGGAGGAAGGAGGGGAGAAGGAGAAGGAGGGGCAGGAGGAGGAGGAGGAGGAGGAGGAGGAGGAGAGAGGCGAGGAGGAGGAGGAGGAGGGCGGAGGAGGAGGAGAGAGGAGGAGGAGGTGGAGGAGGAGGAGGAGGAGGAGGCGGAGGAGGAGGAGGACGACGACGACGAGGTGGAACTCGACGACGACCACCACCGCGACACCACCGCCCACCGCGCGGCCAGCAGCAGCCCCCAAGAGCCGCGCGAGGCGCCGTGGGAGCGGGCGGGCGCGCTCGGAGGGAGCCTCCCCACGGGTTGCGCCGGCAGCGCGATGTGCGCCGCGACAGCGCCAGCGTTAAGTCGGGCATGTCTCTCTATTGGAGGAATATGCACAAAATAGGCAAGCAAAAATAGTCTGGGGACGATGTTTTGACTATCTTTGTTTTTTGTTTGGGAACAGTTCTTGACTATTTCATTTTTTTATTGAAGAATCCGCCTGCAGGAGGACATGCTCGACCTCACGACAGCGGCGCGACGCACGTTGGCAGCGAGCCGGCGTGCTCGGAGTGCACGCTTCTTGCCGACGGCGCTGGCCGCGCGACGTGCCGTCGGAGCGGGCAGGCGCCCTCGGAGGGAGCGTCCCGGCAGCTGCGCTGGTTGCGCGAAGTGCGCTGAGCACGCCAGTGGTCACCGAGCGCGTTCCACTACCCGCAAAGTGCCTACTCGCAAACGTCCGAACAACAACCACGTTTGCCTCGATATAATATATCGTAAATCCCCCACGGCGGATCCAGGCCATTTGCGAGCAGTGACTTTGCGAGTAGTGGAACGCGCATGCCTAAGTGGGCACCCTGGGAAAGCCCGCGGGAGGCCCACGGGAGGGGCTCACGGGAGGGGCTCCGCCCCGCGGCACCAGCCTTGTGGGGGGCACGTAAGTCGCAGGAGCAAGCCCAGTCAGGGACCAACGCCGGCAGCACGCTGTGCGCCGCGGGAGCGGGCGGGCACGGTCGGAGTGGGCATCTCGGCAGGGGGCCTGGCTGCAATGTTGCCCACGCGATGTGCCGCGGGAGCGAGCGGGCACGCTCCCCAGGTATTTTCTCCTCCTCGATGTCATCGTCCCCTGTCGTCGCCGTCGTCGTCCTACTCCTCGTCCTCATCCCTCTCCTCTCGTGCTGCTGCTGCTGCTCCGTGCCTCCTCGTCCTCAGCCACCCTACTTCCTCCTCCTCCTCCTCCTCCGCCTCCTTCTCCTCCTCCTCCGCCTCCTCTCCCTCCCCCCCCTCCTCGTTCCTCCTCCCTCATTCTCCCTCTCGCTCACTCTTTTCTCGTCCTTCTCTGCCTCCTCCTCCTCTACCTCCTCCTCCACCGCCAATTCGTCCTCCTCGTCCCGCTATCCAACCCATTGGCCAGGTGATGACCCACTTCACCACGAAGATCGCCGAGAGCACCTGCAGGACGGAACCTCTCTTTGCTGCTGCTGATCGTCGCCGACGTTGCGTCGCCGTCGTCGTCGTCGGCGTCGTCGTCGTCGTCGTCGTCGTCGTCGTCGATGCGTCGTGGTCGTCGTCGTCGTCGTCGTCGTCGTCGTCGTCGTCGTCGTCGTCGTCGTCGTCGTCGATGCGTCGTCGTCGCCGCCGCCGCCGCCGTCATCGTCGTCGTCGTCGTCGTCGTTGTCGTCGTCGTGGTCTTGGTCGTCCTCGTCGTCGTCGATTCGTCGTCGTCGTCGTCGTCGTCGTGGTGGTCGTCGTCGTAGTCTTGGTCGTCCTCGTCGTCGTCCTCGTCCTCCCAGCGCCGGAGGAGTGCCAGCCGAGACGATGGCGGCCCTGCCAGTTCGGCGTTTTTCGGTCCCACGGAGGTTTTTTGTCGCCGCCCTGGCCAGGAGGAGGAGGAGGAGGAGGCGGAGGCGGAGGCGGAGGAGGAGGGGGAGGAGGAAGAGGAGGAGGCGGAGAAGGAGGAGGAGGCGGAGGAGGAGGAGGAGGAGACGGAGGAGGAGGAGGATGAGGAGGTGGAGGCGGAGGCGGAGGCGGAGGAGGAGGAGGAGGAGGAGGAGGAGGAGGCGGAGGGACGAGAAGGAGATGCTCCTCGAAAGAGGGGTCAGGACGCACTCGGCGATGGGTCCAGGGACCGATTGTGAGCGGGCTCGAGCCGGGCGGGAGGGGCGCCTCTGCCTCCGCCGGCCCTCTTCTCCGACCAGCGTCTGCTCACTGCTTGCTCCTGCTCCGCCTCTCCCCTCCTCCCTCCTCCTTCCCTTCTCCCTCCTCCCTCCTCCCTCCCTCCTCCTCCTCGTCCCTCATCCTCCTCCCTCCCCCCCCTCCTCCTGCTCCCCTCCTCCCTGCCTCCCTCCTCCCCCTCCTCTCCTCTCATTCCTCGCTTCTCCTCCTCCTCCTCCTCCTGCCTCCTCCTCCTCCTCCCTCCTCCTCCTCCTCCTCCTCCTCCCTCCTCCTCCTCCTCCTCCTCCCTCCTCCCGCATTCCTCCCGCATCCTCCGCCTCCCTCCTCCCTCCCTCCCTCCTCCCTCCTCCTCCCTCCTCGAACCCCTCCCGCTCCTGGAGGAATGTCGCGGGTCCTGTCTCCGCCCTCAGGATGTCCCTGGTCCCCGCCTCGGCTGGTGCATGGATAACTTCATGACGGTGCGAGATGATCGTGGCTTCGTCATTCCCCTTGGGATTTCCCCCCGCTTTGATGAAGGTTTTGGTCAAGGATGGATATTTTATGATGTTGGAGAGGCTCTTGGGAGGAAAGAGAGGGGTTCTTCCTCGCATATGCCATGATGTGCTTCGCGAGGCTCTTGTCTCTAAGAAGTATACGGCCCTTCAGAAGGCCACATTGGAGCTTTTGCGACGGAAGTCTTTTTCACAGGAGATAAGGCGATCAGCTTGGGCTACCTCGTGGACGGCCTCTGCCCCTTCTGCGGCTGTCTCGATTCGGTTTCCCACCAGCTGTGGGAATGCACCCACGAGCCCGTCGTCGAGTTTAGATCCAGCTTAGTGGACGTCAGCACGCGCAGTGACAGTGACGATGATGTGCTCGTGTTCAAATCCGGGGCTTCCGGCCACCCCGCCGACACGTACCCCAAGCCCCTGCCTGAGTGTGGCACCAGCAAGATATGATGTCTCCACCGGATCAAAACCCTGGCACCGAAGTTTGGGGTAATGTGTTTATGCGCAGGTCCAGCAGTCGACACGTCATACGTGAACTCTCCCATGCAGCCAGTAGTGTCGTCATGGTCGATAATAAAGGCGACTCTATTGCTGAATTCAGGGCCCCTGTGGGCTCCGTACCCTCAAACGCCTCAGTCTGCTGAGTTCAGTTGTTGGACCTGGGCCAATGTGCTCGCTTCGTTCACGATTTCGGTTTTCTCTCATTGCAGTAACGTGGTCAAGCTCGCATGCAGGCCTACGTGTGAGCAGCTTTCGGGTAAACATGCCTACTAGGAGCCTGTCTACAGATTTATGCGCAGGGTGCTCGCCCCGCACCCTGCACCAAGGTTGCCGCTCACAAGGATTTTGACGAGAGCGGAATTGACTCTGCCGAGCGCTGGAGGCGCTTCGGCAACCATCACGCGGACGCGGCTGCTAAACATACAGTCAACCTCCATCCCTCTTGTGCTGACAAAGCTAGCTGCTGCCGCCAAGCTTGTCCTACACGCCCGTCAAACAATTCGCCTGGCCGCGCATGTCCTCCATCTCTGGCCTGCCTTGGATTTGACCGAGGCAGAGCGACAGCCAGTTGCGCCCTCTGCCGCCGAGGCTCCTGTAGGGCAACGCTGGGAATCCTGGTCAGAGGTGTAGCGCTGTGCGGTCTGTCTCCGTGGGCGGAGGTCGGTGGAGAAACCTCCGCCTGGCACCTGCCCGCTGGACTCGGCAGGACGCGCTAGGGCATCGCACGATTGCCTTTGACTGCTCCGACGGGTCTGTTTTATGTATACCTATACGACCACCCTTCGGGTGATAAGGAGGTTGTGGGGGGGGGGAGAGGGGGGGGGAACCAACATCTGACTCAATCGATCTCACTATCGATCTTACTCAACGGGACGCCACGGGACAGCACGGGACACTTGTCGATCTCACTATCGATCTCACCATCGATCTCACTATCGATCTCTCGATTGATCTCACAAGCGATGTCGTTATCGGTCCCACTATCGATGGGACCATCGATCCCACTATCGATGTCACTCGATCGATCTCACTATCGATCTCCGGTTGCACTGTCGATCTCACTCTGGATATCGCTATCGATCCCACTAACGATCTCCCTATCGATATCACTCGATCTCACAATCGATATCACTATTCATCTCACTATCGATCTCACTGTCGATCTCACGATCGATCTCACGATCGATTTCACTATCGATCTCACTATCGATCTCACAATCGATTTCGTCATCGGTCTCACTATCGTTTTCGCACCAGCGGGACACCGGCGGGACACCAGCGGGACACCGGCGGGACACCGCGGGCCACCGCTTGCCGGAGGGAAAATCATTTGGTCCGGCCGCGCTTCAGCCACAGGAGACTTTCCTCTCGCCCGCCCACGCAGTTTCGCCTCGCCCGCATGCACGGCACGCACGAACACGAAACCGAAACCGATTTCCCGGAGGGGGGCTCTCCGTGTCACTTCGATCTCACCCCCCAACCTCCGATGCACTCGGTGCAAATCTTTCTCGAGCGGCGCGTCAGTGCGCGGTCTTGGGTCCAAGTGCCAGCCTCGTGCGTCTCGGGCCGCGAGATACGGCTGGAATGCGCTCTGCAAAAGGCGGCACCCGCATTACAGG